TTGTGAAAAAGTTGTTGTCTGCAAGCAAGCGCCCACAGCCTACCTCTCGCATCCCGATGGTTTATTTCCTTGGAGTCTGTGCAGCTGCCTACGTTGTTCCGTGTTTATGCGTTTTGATATGAGGTTGAGCAAAAATTGCCCGTCGTTCTTTTTAGGCTTATAGCTATTCGATGTTTTGCTGGTTTTCCCAAGATTATGATAGATTGATTGCGCACAATCTCTTTTACATTTTGACGTGCAACACTTGTGTACTTGCTTTACTCTGGAGCTTACAAGCTAGCAAAAAAAATTGCTCATGCTACATGAGTGCAAGTTGAGCTCGAAACCGAATGCTTCTGCATCTGCTCGAGAATCAATGAAGCCTGGGATGAAGGCACGGTTGCAGAGAAGACTGTTCGAGAGCGTTTGTTGATTACGCATTTATTGTTGTTTTTGTTTGTTTCTTGTTAATAATTTACGAGCGAAATGAAAACGGCAGATAATTTTGCTCAACCTATTTTCGTTGTCTTCGATATGGACCATTCATGCGCTAGTCGATGAGTAGTAGTCATTTTTTGCATTCAGCTGCTGGAAGCAGGGTAAGTATGGTTTTTTCGCACTACGTAGTCGTTCTCGATGGCCATTAGGTCGCAGCTCTGGGAGGTTTCGACTTTGAGACCTGATGTTTCTCCAGTTTCAGTACATTGCTCTCTGTTGCGCCAAACGCTGATATCGACAAAGGCCAGCTCTGTTTTTTGCAAACTCAGTTAAACCAATATGAGTGACTGGTTAAGCTCGGCTGATGTAACCTTTTAGTCGACCGATTAAATCTGTTTTTCTTTTAATTTTCCGGTCCGTAATTTCTTGAGATGTCATATCCCAGCTTTGGATTGATCGTTTGCCTGTTCAGAATACTTTCTCTTCTCGATCACGGCCAAAATGTGGCACAGCGATGATAAAGAAGAAGTCGTGGGGTCATTTTCCAGTCGCCCATCACAGTAAAGAACGGGGGTGTTTGAAACAAGGAAGGCAGAGTTCAAAGCATTACGTGTCCACTATTCAAGGAATGGTGCACTTCTCTAACGTACTATGCATCCTTTAATTTGACTGTTCGAAAAGCTATTGCAGACAGCAGAGCTGAAGAAAATTATAAACGAACTTATTCTCAAAATTTTCTCAGACGTCCAAGCGAGACATGGATTAGGAAAATGCGAGCTCGAGGATTACCCTAGTCTTACTTCGATAAAATGAGGTGAAAGCATTGGCGCAGCAGTGTTAAAAAAAGCGTTCCGAAGATGAGCTTGTGGCTAGCCGCGAAAACATTCTACGATTACCAGCTGCTTTCAAGAGGTAAAGATATCAGGTCAGGGGATGCAATGCTCAGTTGAATTGTGAAAAATAGTAGAAGTTTCATCCACTAGCTTCTGCTGACGGAGGTTTGTGGAGGAGCACAGAAATTGCTCTTTATAGTGCACGGAAAAGGTTTAACGAGTTGAAGTATGAGATTCTTATTAGTTGATTTTCCTTGGTGTGAAAACATGGCCCAATCTTAGTTCCCGATTTGAGTGCAACCGAGCAGGTGTGCTCCATTGCGACACAGAGAGCTACCGCAAGCAGAAAAGGCGTCCGCCGCTGCACCTCTTTGACAAGAAATGGGGCAGAGACTGCAGAAGCGCACTAGCTGAATCCATCTGCTGAGATTTTCACAATAACAGAGAATAACTCTGTCGAAGGTATCGTTATACATCCGATACATACACAAGTATATTTTCTAGTGCGAGCCGCTCCAGACCACTCCATGAACTAAATCATTAGTCGTTTTCACGATGAAAATACAACAATCTCCTCCAAGCTGTTTCGCCGTAAAAGTAGGATTACGCAATGTTGTGAGAAGATTTGCTACTGCGGCTGAGTGGACTCAGAAGGATGACATCGCTTCCGCTGAAATTCGTTTCGAAGAAAGGGAAACCTGAAGATGGAGTTGAATGTTTCCAGCAACTTGATTTTAAGTAGGAAGGAAGTTCTGCTTGAAAGTGAACTCCTCCTGCAGCAGCTGAACTCCTCATATTCTATGATGCCTATTTACTCATACTGTTCTATAATTATTTATACACCGCCTACAAGTATATTGTTGTGCGCCCGTATTGTGCAAAATAAATAAATAAATAAATTACGTGAAGATCGCTCCGAACAGGTTGGTTGTTGCGTTTGTGCGGGCGCCGAGCGGTCAGCTCGCCTCTGCATATTCACGACCAATTTCTGATTTGCCTAATTCCTTGTCTTACCTATTGTGTTCTACTATTCGATTTATGCGAGCACCATAGTGGCACGGTGCGTGAAGAAGGGCAAAAGGTGCCACCCATGAGATCGTTTTCCAAGTTCTTTATTTTGTTCGTCCTGATTGATCGAGAACGACGATCAATATGTCGTGGTTGATACTTTTGACTGCTTGTTCTGCATCTTTTTACGTTTTTTTTTACGTTAGACCCTTGTGAATGGAAGCTTAATAACTGAACTTGTGGTGATTCTGTAGCCACAACTAAACACCTCTCCGCTTGCTGCTGCTTTTGTTCTGAACTTCCGTCAAGGTGTTCTCTTACGGCTCCTCAAATTCTCATCTAGTCACGTTGAGCTGCTGACTTCGGACGAATTGGCACCATCTGAGGTCCGTCCTAGCCTGGTTACTTGAGGAACGTAAACATATGTACTCGATTTCTGTATTATGCAAGGAATTATCAGATGAAATCAGAAAGTCAAAGTTAAGAGCTGAACTCGGCAACCTCTTTGTGATTCCCGTTTGGTGTTTCCATTGCTTTTGCTTCGAATTCTTTGACCTCTCTTAAGTCATTTGCTTATAGATCTGTTAGTGTTACGTTAATATGCAGAATTGGAGCGCTTTGTAATCATTCCCGGTATTTAAAAGCTTAGCCTTTTATCCTCTTCTCGTGTGATGCATGATTATCAGGATAATAAAGACTTCATGGGTTCCTAATCGATTGATTGTTCCGCTATCTCGGTGTGAAGATGGGGTATTCTTAACGACGGCCACCCTAGGCTTCTCAAAGTTGTCCTCTCTTGTCTGTCACTTGATAAATTGTTGTTGCATAGAGCCCCTTGATCGAAGCATCGTACGCTTTCTGAAGTCTTTCTCTGCCTTCTTTCTTAGGGAGAAAAAGGCAGGACTGTTCCGAGTGAATGGATCGTCTTAACAGTTTAACCGTAACAACTCAGTCTACCTCTGTTGTAGCGCAAACTCCAGATGATCATCCTTCATTCCCTGTCTTTCCGATTAATTCAAAGTGAGGAGCCATGTCCGTGTTGAGGGGCTCAGAAAAGTGTGCAAAATGGAAAATCAGTCTCAAGTCCGAGAGGATCTCACGAAGGCGACGTACTCGATGAGTTGGTCATTCTTGAATGAACTTCGTGGGTGAAACTGAACTAATTTCTGCTGTTTATTCACATTCCTGGTTGCGTTAATAAGTTTTCATACCGTTCAGTTCAACTGCTTCCTCACTTAAACCATTAAGGAAAGTGGCCATCTTACCGATTTGGTCACTGTTAACAGCATGCCTCACAAACCTGCATGTTGAATTGATGGTGGAGGTCGAACGATCGCTGCGCATGTAGCACACACTTGCGGGGATGCCTAAGAATTCGGACCGACTTACACGCATAACTTTGCAAACACGGACTTGTATGAGAACTGTGGTCCTGAACCGTTACAACAGGTTCTTCAGGCAAACGTAGCTTCCACTTACCTCGGTTGAAGGCACATTCCGGGATTAGGAGCACTCATCTAATCCATCCCGGGTCTAGCAGACTAGCGGACGAGCGTTGCTGTCGCACCCTTTTTGCGAGTATGAAGTGGGCGGCAAAGGCGCAAGGAGCTCGTCCGACCCGCAACCAGGGTGAAAATCCTGTTGAGGAAATCACTACTGTGGGACCCCCCATCCTCCCACACACATCATCTATATGTGAAAATAGTGCTCATTACATTTTTATTCTTCTTGTTTAAGTTTACAATGTCTACATATTTTCACAACAATTGAAAATGTGGTAACTATTCACAATCAAATTAAACTGGATCACAACATTAGAAAAGCTCGCCTTTGAAGAAAATAGCTCGAGGCGCGCCCGGCACGAAAAATTGGAAGGTTCTGAAAAAAAGACCCTCTTGCGAAGAACACTAGTCTAAAAGAAACGCTCAAGTTTCAAAAGGAACGCAAGGCTCTGCTGCAAGGCTCTGCTGAAAACAAATTAAGCGATATTCCTGAAAACCAAAACATTTGCGGGCGTGTACTAGTCATGAAAGTGAAAAGCTCACCAGTAGAACGTTGCGCGCGATCTGAGGTAGAAATGGAAATTCCTGAGAACGAAAACCATTCCCAAATGTATATGTAATAGAAAAGCTCACCAGTGAAGAAAACAACTGTAGCGCGTGCGGAACGAAAGTTGGAATTATAAAAGACCCACTCGCGGAGAACATAGTCATAAAATCAAAACGCTCACCTTTCAAAAGCAGAACAAAGCGTTACTAAGCAAAGATGTTGAAAGCTATTACCGAAAAAAATTATTCGCAATTGTGTGTCAATGACAATCTGGAAAACCTCACTTCACCTAAAAACTACGGCGCAAAAACTACCATTGGAAACAGAGGAATCCTGAAAAACAAAGCATTCATATTATTAGGTTGTAAGGAAAGTTCTGGCCGTTCGCGCGCGTTTGCCATATAAAATCGATATTCGTCGTGTGTTCAATTATACCAACCGACAACTTGTGCTACTTAGGTAAGCAAAGAGTTGCTCTTCCTAAAAAAACACTTTCCCCGAAATTCCATAAAGTTTTGAAAATAATGGGGACGTTTTCTTGCAGCATGGATAAGACTGCTTTTCGAACGGTTTTACTTCATGAGTTCAAACTTGGTCGAACGGCAACGGAGGCAACCACAAATGTGAACATGGCTTGGGGAGAAGGCACTGCATCGGAACGAACGGTTCGTCGCTGGTTTCAAAAGTTTAGAAATGGATTCGCCAGAAAACAAAGAGCGAGCTGGCCGACCATCACTAGTTGATCCCGAAGTTTTGATTGAAGCAGTTGAAAAAGATCGGCGTCAACCTTTGAGAGAGATCGCCAAGAATGTCGGTGTTTCCCATACAGTTGTTGCTGATCACCTTAAACAGCTTGGAATGGTCAAAAAACTTGACAAATGGGTGCCGCATCACCTCACGGAGCAGCAGCAGTTGAGACGCCTGGAGGTTGCAAGTTCGCTCCTAAGAAGGAACGCTATTGATCCATTTCTTCATCGGATCGTAACTTGTGATGAAAAATGAATACTATATGATAACAAAAAAAACGTTCTGCTCAGTGGGTGTCTAAAGATGAACCTCCGAAAAATTTCCCAAACCAAGTTTACACGTCAGGAAGACAATGATCACAGTTTGGTGGTCTCAACAGGGAATAATCCATTACAGCTTTCTTCCGCCGGGAAATTGGAGCGGATGCAGCCAGTACTGGTGAATCGCCACGGCCCACTACTTCTGCACGACAATGCTCGACCGCATGTTTCACAAATCGTTTTCCAGAAGTTGAACGAGTTGCAGATCGAAGCTCTCCACATCCTCCGTACTCATCAGACCTAGCACCAACTGACTTTCATTTTTTCAAACATCTGGATAACTTCTTAAAGAATTCAAAAAACAAGACGACGTGAAAACTGCCTTCCTCAAATTCTTGGAATCCAGACCGCCAGAATTCTATAATAATGGAATAAGCAAACTTGCATTTCGTTGGCAGAAATGTGTTGGTTCGAATGGGACTTACTTTGAATAAAAATGTTCACTTTGAGTGGAGTGATGATTTTTTGAAGTTGAGCGGTTGGAAGGGCCAGAACTTCCTCACAACCTAATATATTACAGGGGCTATTGTTCATGTAGACGCACGCCATACGCAAAAAAAAGATCGAAAGCAATGGGAAGAAATGATAAAGACCTGTCAATGGAAATGTCAACAAATTTCAAAGGAGCAGCTTCTTCCTCACGCGGCTGCGGCGCGGCTCACGCGGTGGAGCGATTTATCTCGAAAATTGGCCATTGCCCCTCATGCTACAAACCTTAATATCTTTTTAAATGCTTAATCCTTTGGAGAACGCTAGGTGTGCCTTGAAAAGCGTAATTGCTGCTTCGTTTTATTTCTGTAGTGGTTCCGGAGCTTCCTTATCGAATCAGATTTTTCACGTCGAGGAAACGTCGAGGAATTCGGATTTTTCGTGCGGATTTTCCTTATTTTCAAGACAATATCTTTCTCAAATTATATAGAAAAGTAAGGACAGTACTAGAAACCAGGAGATTGGCTCTTTCGGATGTTTGCCTGATTTGTTCAGAAACATCCTATTTGAAGAATAATCTGCGTCGAGGAAATACCGAGGAATTTTTTCCTTACTCCAAAACCGCATTCCTTCCACATCATTATCAGGAAATTCACTTGAACCAAGATGCCTTAGCAACCTATCACTTAGATGTTGTTGATAGAAATATAATATACACACTCATGTTTGTTCAATCGAGTATGAGTCATGCCGTCAATCTTCGCTCGCAATTTTTGAGTCAATTGAAAGGTGTTGTGTGCGCATGATGATTTGCTACAAAAAAACCGGTGTTCTTAGTTACGGGGGAATCTTACAAACGGCTCACTTGCTTGCGCCTTCCTTTCGAATGCCTCAGCCGCGCTTACTCGGCTGCCCTCCTACGTTTTGAATTTGGCACAATGTTCTCCTCCGTTGAATTCCAATTACTCTAATGTCCACATTTTGTTGTTCCAGAGCTCTTTACTTCAACATTAATGTTTATGTGGCGGTATTCCTTTTTGAACTCATCGTACATTTCCGCCTTGGCGACGATCGCTCATGACGCTAGAGCCTTGATATTCTCTTCAGGCATTTCTAAGGACGTAGAGTTGAACCTGCAAAGAATAAGTCCTATTACGTTCCCTTACTCATTGAGGTTTCGAAAAGGGGAGCAGGGAGACCTCCCCCACCCTTCCCCTAAAGCTGGATATCACGCCCCGTTCGATACTGATACCGACAATTACGACCCCCCCCCTACTTTCCACCGAGGCAAACCGACCTCTCGTCGAGGAATTTCCTCGACCGATATTCACCCTACTCGCAACGCACACCTTCGCTCGCAAGCCCCACCCTCCGCTGTCGGTTGCCACGTGGCGCTGCTTGAAAAGCGCGGGCGCATTTGAGGCAGCGGTCCCATTGCGACCCAATGTCATTGGCACTGGAGCAACTAGAGTTAGGTTCGTGAAACTCGTCCAACGCGCCCCTTCTCTATCCCAAGGTGGAATGCGGCTGAAATAGGGGAGGTGGCGTAATCGGTGGTTTCGTTTGCTTTCCTTCTCTTTTCCAGACCACCTCCCACCTCTAGCTTCATAACTGAACGCTTTTCCACACCTATTTTATCCCGAATTTTGCCTTCAAGGAATCGCTTCCTTCTCCAGTACCTTAAATAACTACAGGAAACTACAGGAAGGACTAGTAATAGTAATGCTTCGCGGTCCTTGAAAGATAGAGGATCTCAGAGGAAAGTGTTAAAACCACGGGGCAACGACCCTCAGATCAATGCAAAACGCAGGTCAAGTAAATAAAACAACTAAACATACATATTCATGCTGTATATGTGGAATACGGGAGAATGGGGAAGAGGGAAAGGGGAGTGAGTGGCACCCGACGACTATCGACAACTTCTTGTTGTCATCTGAGCTCTGCTTAACGGCACAAACTAGGCAGAAGTCGTGCGAACGATTCCTTCGGTCTGTGGGATAGACCTCTAGAGGAGCAATCACAAATGTGGCGTTCCCGTGCACGGAAATCACCGACAAGAGCGCTAGGGCCTTGCAAAGTAAGCTGCTGAAGCTGCAATTTTTTCTTCTATCAGGCTGTTGTCTGGCGCCCTCTCATCTGTTGCGCTCTCTCGCCTCATACTCTCCTCTCCGCGCTTAGTCTCTCATTCCCTTAGCACAGCCGATTAGGAAGGTGAGTGAGCCCTTAACCTGAGCGTTTTCGACGGATTCTTTTCCTTTTTTCTTTACTGCCGGCCCATTTCGCACCAACACACGTGTGCAAGGACCACACCAATTCGATCTTGAGGCATGCCTTCAAAGCAACAGTTCCAGATTAAAATCTTGGTGTAAAAACGGTCGTTAATGAAATTGTGGCTGCCGAGTTGACTGGTAATGGAGGAAAGCTAAGAAAAGCGCCAATGAAGCCTTCAACCTTTAGACTACGATTTTGTCGAAAACAAATTATCGATAGTTTTATGTATAGAAAGTGCAGCGAACGCAGTCTTACACAATAACTATTTATTGAAGTATGTCAAGGCGAGTACGATATGAGACAGTGCAGAAGTAAGGTGCGAAGCGTCCAAGGTATGGACAGGAGTAACAGGAGGAGATCCGCTGTCCAGTCCGCCGTCCGTCCTCATGGTCGAACCATCGAATGCCCGTCGCGCAACCTCCCATGTTGTCATTCCTTGGTGCGACGCCATATCACTGAACGGCATCTGGAAATAGGAATTGATCATTAAGCTCCGAACATGTGATTTCCTCCCTTTACACCTCCCCTGCCACAAAAAAGTCCGTCCCGGACTTAGAATTTAGGACTTACCCTATTGTAAGGATAGATGATTGAAGATGCTTACAGTCAATAAGTCGAGAGCGGCGGCGGCTGTGGACGAGATACAGCGATAATAATGATGAGGGGAAGGGGTTCTGTCGAGTAGATGGAGAAGATGGAAATTGAGGGTTGATGGGTAAACAAAAATTAATGAAGTTTAGTATAGGAATAGTTGCCCTCCTTCAGTGGGTATGGAATAGGTTCTTCAGCTGGGCGGAGGGGATGACGGCACCTGCTTGTTCAGCCCAACTTACGAGCTTTCCCCAGTGGGGTAGGGATCGCAGAGTGGGGACATGGCCCAGTATAAATTGCCCATGTCGGCAACGGGTGACTGCCACGTTGAGACGAGACGAAGGAGATCGTCAATGAAGCCCGCAGTCTCAGGTTTTAGGCCCGTGCGAGTTGTTAACAAAATGATGACTTCTGTTTCACGACCCTGGATTGGAATCCACCGTGGCAATTTTCGATGTTTCGTTCCACGGCAAAGTCGAGCAGCAGTCGAAACTGCTCTCGGTAGAAGGTGACCACGCACATCTGATTGGGAAGAAGCCCGCTCTGCAGAAGCTGGTCCATCAATGTCAGGCAGGTTTCGGCCTCCTCGTCATTGAGATGAGAGCGAGTTGGTGCTTGCACGGAACTTCCCTCGACATCGATTAGGGCGAACGGCAGACGAGGGTTCGGCAGGTTGACCCGGTCCAAAAGTAGGCGACGTTCGTCCGCTGTTACTCCGCTTATTAGGGAACCACTATAGGAGCAAAGGTTAGGCAAACCGTTAAGGGCAGGGTGAGCCCTAAATGTGGTCACCAAGGCCGACTTTGGGACGGCGGGGGATCTTGCTAGTACTGTCATTACGCTTTGACCACCAAATAGTGCCGGGTTAGCATCGCTTGGGCATCTCACATGTGGTCGCATTGGTGAACATCCCCGATATAGAGCTGGCGTGCATCAGGAAACATCGTAGTGAAGCATGCTAGGATAGGCTCAGGCACTTGGGATGCTTCGTCAACGATGATAATCTTTCCGGTCCTCCAAATGATTTTTGAAGATTCCCCCTTTCGCCGCCGTAGTGTTCAGAAGCGAAGCTGTGGTCCAAGGACTTCAGCGATGTTCTCAGGAGTGGCGCGAATAGCTACGAAACATATAGCACACTGACAATTTTCTTGACAACCTCATAGCACCACTCGCGTTCTATTCAGCGTCGTAGCTTTCCTGATCACGACAGCGCTGGTACACTCGAGGTTGGGAGTGCTCAAGACTCTCTGCCGAGCGTGGATGTCGACCGGGAGTCGACGGTGGACGGGCATGCTAGGAAGGCCAGACTTGAGACCGTTAGCGTTAGGAGCGCGATTTTCTGAAAGTGTGTCTCGTATTGCCATGTTTGTGGATCGGTGAAATGGGCCACAGCGCTGCTTCGTTTCTCGCGGGGCGCCGGACTCAGTGGGGTCGCTGAGTTGCAATAAATTGGCGGTGTAATCGAAAGAATCGGCACGTCGTCTTGTCCTACAGTAAAACGTCGATGAGCATAATTAATATGCCATGTTGGGAGACGAGACAGGAGGTCGTTACCCAAGATGATGTTATATTTGTCTACCTGGCGGGGAATGCATGAACCTTTGGTAAAGTACACGGTATGCACTAATGTGGTGGTACCGACTTGTATACGCAGAGGGGCCGATCCTACGAGAGGGACGGGGATGCCTGCCATACCTATAGCGAGAGCGAATCTGAGAGGTTGTAGGGAAAACACGATAAGGGTCGTAAGTGTTCCTTTGGCTTATGACTCGGTCGATCGCTGCTCCATGTATCATGAGAGCCTAGCATCTCGATTTCGTTGACTCTGATGGATGTTGGGAATAAAGATAGGGAATGGCTCGGTGCCAGAGCAAAGGCCATCATTCAAATGTGCGCCCGAGAGGTAGACTTGGCCACCGGTTCGGCCACACTGATGGTGCATCCGATACAGCTGCCCGAAGGGCTGCGATCCCCATTTCCTGCAGAGGGGCCGTTGCCATTGAAGGAATATTTGGAGCCTGGCTAGAACGGTCTCGCGGTGGGTGGTTCATCTGGTTCCGCTGTGCTCTTAAAGGGAGGACCGTATCGCGGGCAGCTCTCCAGTGACGTAGATGATAAGCAGTAGTCGAAAGACTTGCAAAGAAACTACGCACCCACATAACGCAATCCAAACGTCGAACGGGGTCCATTTGCCAAAGAGTGACCATACCGAAAAAGAAGCTGGGTTTTGGCCGCCGGTTATGGAAGTTTCTCTATTTCGGAGTTGTCTAATATGTTCCTCAACGCGCTGTTGCTCCAAAGCTCTGCCGAAGTCTTGGAGACGAGGGACCATCCACGATTTCACTAAGATTAGTTATGACCAGGTTATGAAAAATTGTTAGTGGTAGGGTGGTATTGAATGCAAGGGGGGGGGGGTCTCAAAAGCTTTGAAGTTTCTGATCAGGTGTGAGGGAACGAGAGTAGTTTTACCGGACGAACTGTCAATCCGCGCGACTTTTGCACCGTCGGAAATATAAAAATATGTCGCACCGGGACATGGTACCTCCCTAGCGCTTTCTTCGATTACTGCTGTGTCTACATTGAAAAATGCGCGAGTGAACAATGCCGGATGGAAGCGATATCTCTACCATGGGTAGCGCATAGCATGTTCTGTTGAAGCCGACAAAGCGCCAGCTGGTCGCCGGTAACGGTATGCACCTGTGTATCTGTACAAGACCGTTGCCAAGGTAGGAAGCTGATATGCCTTCACGGGCTAGCAGGTGTCTAGCGGTAATGGTAGGTTGTGTGGTGAGGGCTGTTTGGATAGCCAATCCTAGCAAGTTGACTCTATCGCAAAGAGAAGATATGGCATGTGCCTGAAGAGCGCTAGTAGATACGCTTTTGTGGACCCTTCAACCGCGAGGAGTTGGGCCGACAGTTGATTCGATGTTACTATACCAACTTCCGGAGGGGCGGAACGTACTGAACGACACACCATCGAAATTGCGTACCCCTGGTCCGTGACGATGAGCGGCTTGCCGCAGTCGTAAAGCGGTTCAGAGGCTGATGTCCACGAGAGCGCGAACTCTCGGGAATCACCCAACCAGATGTCTCCGAAGCGATGCCCTCGCATCTTACCGACGGGGATAAATTGACACGTTTCTTCTGGGCTGGGCGTCCAAATCATAGCAGAACCATCCCATAAAGTGCATGCACCGTCGCGCTATATTTGCAAGAACTCATGTCTCCTGCCAAAGCATCGGGGTGATCGTCACCGTGCTTAGCGTATACCGTAGTTGGAAACATCAAGCAGTTGGAAATGGACACTGTGTGTGGAGTACAGCAACCAAAAGGGGCGGTGGGCCACTCTACAACTCGTTGGTGGCCGGGAAGCCGCGGTGCGCCATACGGGTCATTTGAGACGTGGCGACAAACTGGCCATATTACGCACGGTGCGTGAATGGACATTATACGAAGATTGCTCGAGAGTTACCGTTTGTGAGGTCTCAGAGCGTACGATTGAGCGGGACCCGAAAAAGTTAATCGAAAAAGTAGCGGAGGAGGTAACTATTTTACACCAAAATGCTTGGGATGAGTAGCGCTTAGTGTTAGGGCGGAAGATATTGAGAGACATGGAACTGATACTGCTGTTAGGAGACGGGCAGAATATTGGAGCAATTATATGAAAATGGTATACGGATGATCTGATCTTGAGAATCGGTTGGACAAAGCCAAGCAGAAGTAGCGTTAGTCGTTCCGATTAGTGAAATCGCACATAGTGATAAAAATAAGCAACTCACAGATGGGAAAGATGTGTGGACGATGCCGAAGAAAAGACCGAATTTCTAGAGGGGGCCTGCCGTAGAAAAACGGATCGAGATAATTCGTGATTGCGTTTGATCAGAGCTCCTATCTGTAATTGCTATTGTTTGGAAATGCTTTCGTCCGCTGTTCCGTATTCTGGACCCAAAGGGTTCGGTACCATCTCTGCGTCCTGGACTGCATAGGTAGGGGTTTCGGTAGGGGATCTCTCGCGAATATCGGGGCTGCTGGGATGGGATTGGACGGCTAGGTTTGTTTGCTGGCCCCCGAGGGGAGGGACACTGCCATGACATGTGGCCAAGACCGCCACAATTGAAACATTTGCTGCTGCGACCCCCAGGGCGGTTGGGATGTGGATTAGCTGACTTCGCCAACACCTGTGCACGTCGCTGGAAGTGCCGCTCCCGACGTTGGTTGCCGAAGGAAGGCTTATGTTGTGCGCGTTGACGTGAGCCCAGGCCCATACGTTCTACTTGAGCCGAGAGTGCCTGCACTTGCTGGTTGCTAAGGTTGGTGGCGGCGAGGGTGCATAAGTTTATATTTCATAATTTAAATGGGTATTTCTAAGTTTTTAGGGCTGCGCTGGCTTCTGCGAGTGAACTGTCGATCATTTGTGCTCGCGCTACGGCTTGCTCAAAGCTGGCGGGGTTCTCGAGTCGCACAAAATAGTGTATATCTCCCCGAAGTCGGGCTATATACTCCTCTAATATGCGCTCCTTTTGTGTTACTGGATCCTGCCCTGCGGTGGCTGCTCGAACCACATTCAACAGCCGGTTAGCAAAAGCCGTCGTGGATTCGGAAGGCCCTTGTTGACAGGTGGATAGGGCCTGGCGAGCCAAATGCCTTTGTTGGGGGCTCTCAAAAAATGACTTTAGATGGCCTACGATAGCATCATAGTCTTTCCGCTGCTCGTTTGATAACTTCCACTTTTTCGCGTGCGACCCCCTCAAGATGTCCCACTAGAAAATTGGCCTTTTGTTCTGAAGTCAGGGGCGCTGTGCGCATACGCATGATGCGCCGGAGAAGTACGCTAACTTAGGGAATGTTCCTTCAGGGAGGCACGAAACTACGGTGGGCAACGATTGGAAGCGATCGCCGACGGCTGCGAATGAATCGTTCAATTGGTGAAGAAGGTTCACATTGTTGGCCGAAATCTGTTGGGCCAGCGAGGATGTGGAGTGACGCGCGTCGCGCCAGGCTTCGGTAACAGCCGTGGTCCGCTGCATCCCGCAGTTCCTTAGCGTCTCTCCCCAAGACGGTGTCGGTATCTTCGAGGTCCCTTAAGGTTGTACGGAGTTCTTCCGTAAACTTAGGTTGGTGAGCCTCATCATAGTCTTGGGTCTTTGTTATTTCCCCACTAGCCAATGCTGCCCTTGTTTGGGAACGGGTGACCGGACCCGATGTTCGAGACATCCGTTTCGATGAGCCTAGTGCTCAATGATATCGGAGGAAAAACGAGCTCAAGCAAGAAAACTGTGAATTCAGTCGAGATACGACAAGAGACGATAATGTCAGTCAACACAAGTGAAAATTCAGTAGGAGAATCACAAGTAGGAATACGAAAAGGGTGACGCTGGCTACTGTCAATGATTTATATAGAGGAAGGGGAAGGAGGAGGTACTGACAGAAGGAATGTATTTCAAAAGAATGCGATTGACCAAGCCTGATAGAATGGGAATTGAAACAAGGGGGGAAACATTTTCTGTTATCGCTGCTCTCCATCTGGGAAGGGTATGTGGGAACAAGCCACAACAACCGCTGGTATGTGTAAGCGCTGCTCGCGAAGATGAGGAAAAAAGATAGGGTTACTGTTGCGAGGAAAAAAAACCCTCGCACTGCGTGACTCATGGTCGGCAATTCGAATCCATTCCCAAAGACACAGGTTCGCGAAGAAAAGGATGGTCAAATGATGACAAGCGGAAGACTGCTTGGCTAAGTTAATGTACGGCGCGAGCAACGGGTAATGGTACAGGGGACCGGGAAGGAAGTTGCAACTTTATATTCGTAAATTTTAGAGGAAAAAAATCATTTTAGAGAAGAAGAAAGCGAAATCGAGAAGCGAATAACTTAGGGGAAGGGGTGAGAGAAAAAGAAAAACAAACTAGCGTAGCCGCTTTTAGGTACCTTAGCTGTGAGCTACTCTTTCACCAGCGTTTCTTGAGCCGGGGCATTTCTAGAAAAAGACCTGTGCCCTGCTCCACCTCTCTTTGTGGAGGTCTTCCCTTTTCCGCATGCATGCTAGGGCTACTCCCTACCTCAACGTGACCATACGGTAGCTACCATAATGTTACACACGAGACTACAATGCATTCCACCTCAAACGCTCGAGCTGTCCAAATGGCTGCCTTGAGTCAGCGAAATTGTCTGACATTCTTCACCCGGGGATACTTTACACTCAACCGAAACGTGCACGAAAAGGAACTAGCTATCTACGAAACAGATAGAACGGAAGGCTAAAAAAATAAAATTGCCCAATTCGGAATATTGACCGCGACCCAGTGTTGAAGGATGAAGCGGGATCTCGAATTCGCCACTTCGCGGTTGGCCAGACCGCAAAGGGCCTAACTCTAGTAATTTTACAAAAATACTGTTACAACTGCCCAGGTAGGACGCCTAAACTATAGTGGAAAGACAGAATCAGAGAAAAGTCCAAAGCAGAAAACCAACCACTCGCTGCTACCAGAAAGTGCAGCGAACGCAGTCTTACACAATAACTATTTATTGAAGTATGTCAAGGCGAGTACGATATGAGACAGTGCAGAAGTAAGGTGCGAAGCGTCCAAGGTATGGACAGGAGTAACAGGAGGAGATCCGCTGTCCAGTCCGCCGTCCGTCCTCATGGTCGAACCATCGAATGCCCGTCGCGCAACCTTCCCATGTTGTCATTCCTTGGTGCGACGCCATATCACTGAACGGCATCTGGAAATAGGAATTGATTATTAAGCTCCGAACATGTGATTTCCTCCCTTTTAGCTATCGCTCAACAACTAATCACCTATAGAAGTTTGGCTGACGTACGCTGGATTTGACCTGGGATTTTGATCCAGGGACTATGCGCGCGGTAGCGGCCCCTCTTGTCACCACACCATCACCGCTCGATTAGTATTTTTGAAATGTAAATTGGCAACTTAATTAACAATTAACGAATTCACGATTCTCGATCTCATTCTAGGAACAAAGCCAAGGTCTGATAGCTACCACACTTGCATAGATTTGCAAGCCGCGCTCTATAGAAGCGCTGGGGGATGCTCCTGCTCCGACGAGTTTTCCTCGTCTTCTACTGCTTCAAAATCTGTTTCATCATAGTAGTCCTTTTATTTCACTTTCGCACCAGCGGAACTGTCAGAATCTTGGAGGTTGGAATCTCCAACACTGTCGTGGAACGCCGCGCAGTCCTCTGACTGGTTCGGCTGATAAAATGATCCATCTTTCACCATTTGCTGGAGTATGTTGCACCTGATGCAAATTATAGGGAGACACCAGAATCACTAGCACAATCATTAAAAATGTAAGCCTTGAAAATTGCCTTTTTTTGGGAGCTGCGTACATTTGCCATAGTGGTAGACTACATTGAATTAGAATTGATATGCCTTATTAATTAATCCAGAGTAGCTCGCTTTGGCTTGTGACGAGTTGTTATCAGAGTAAAAACTAACATTTCTTACGTGCACAATTCCGCCATCAGGCGGGCACTCCAGTCTAAGTAAGTCCCAAAACAATGGTAGCGCCAAGGTTTTGATTACGGAAGTGGTATACATGTGTACCACCAGTAGTCAGAAGCAGGGTCAACCGTCCGTTCGAACTGTTCGAACGAAGGGGTCGCATTTTGGTCGGAAGGGGGTCGCAATTTCGAGGACTGCCAGCCACAGGCGCGTGCGTGGCGTATCCGAGGGCAAGAATTGTTTGTGCAGACCGCATTAGATTCGATTATTATGCACAGAGAGACAGTTTTAGGCAAATTACGGTGTTTTCCTTGAGGAATAAAGAACAGTTGAATGCATCCCTATGAAAGGTTTGACTTCTCGGGGCTGAAATTAAAGTTCTTCGGGACCTAATTTTCTGAGGACGATTCTTCCAGACAACGGTAAAACACATAAGAAAGCAGAAATCTCGTAGTCTTCAAAAATGTCTTCGCCCCTCCCAACAAGTTCTTTGAAGGAAGTTATTAAGGTGCGCCTTCTTAGAATTTTGGGTTTTCCACTTCTAACAGAAGTACTTTCCGGAGAGTTAGGCAATCCTTGTAGTTTTCTGAAAGCGCACCTCAGGCACAATCAAAATCTACCTCAACAAGTCAAAAAAATACGTCCCAAGAAAGTTATTCCCCTCTAAAATTTTTTCTTCGCCGCGTCCCGTTCTTCCAGCGCCCGGGTGATACCTGCCGCGCTCCAAGGCCGACGCGACGACGCGCAGACGCTTTCTGGCGCAACGGATTCATGTCTAGCACTCTTATTAACAAAAACAGGGGGTCGCAACTGGACCCCCTCGAGAGCTAGGGGGTCGCAAAAATCCCGAAAATGTTCGAACGTGACGGTTGACCCTGGTCAGAAGGTTGAACAGGGATTCCCCTTTTCCCTCTGAAAATACAAGAAGAGGCGTGCAATACATGCCGGCGTGGCAAGCTGTCCAAATTGGCTTGCTCCGCCGGCATTTGTTGTTGGCTCGTACCATTAATCCAAACAGAGACCTATCCATCAGTACGAAAAAGAAACACGATCAAATGAGTTAAGCAAACAAGACCAATCAAAAAGTGGCAGCATTTATTTTGAAACGCTGGACACTCACGCAATCGCGCAAAGACCCGCAACTAAGGACGCGATCTCACGGCTGGCAAGTGGGAGTGACACCCCCTTCGGAGGCGTTCAACTCCCTTTCTAGCAGCTTCCCAATTTGAGTTTTTTGTTCAATGGCACTTCCATATGTTTTTGACAGTTCTAGCATTTCATTTCCACACCATTACAATCGAAGATAAGAACCCTGCTGGACTGTTGTATTATCCCGTGTGAGATCGTACTATCAGGGACCCGAAAACAGATTTGGTATTGCGCTTGGAAGCGCAGATACCGTACTCCCCCACTTAGTTCACCGTTATTCGAAAGAACAATCTCGAAGAAAGTTAGGGTAATTTGACTCCAAAAAATTGCGTTGTCGGAATGAAATTGAGTATAGACGAGTTTATGCGCTTTTTACAAAGCTCACATTCCCGCTAAAGTTACTGAATCACACCAAACCCCACAACCCGAAAGAAACTTACCAACGGAACGATTTTCCAAGGAGTACTTTTCAACAAGGTTTAAGTACTTATTCAAAAGCATGAGCTTCGTTGTTTCCCGTGACGGTTTTCGATTACATTGAGACAGTTTCGACAAAAAATTATGGTAGCTGAAGATTCAAAACTCGCATGTACACAAAAAATTTACGGGTTCGCTATTTTTTGAAGAAATGACTTTTCTATTAAGTTCAGATAACTCTTTAAATGTAAATCATTTGAAGCAGGATAAGAACGATAAGAACGAAAGTCGAAGAAGAAAAAATTGTCTAGTGGGGAGACAGGCGGACCTCCTAAGGCCGCTTTCATACTTCGCACCGGTGCGGTCGGTGCAGTCGGTGCAGTCGGTGCCGACGGCGCCGACCGCACAAGCAGGGTCAAGCGTGCGTTGAGGAATCCTCGACATGTCACAGAGGGGGGGGTCGTATTGGCCCGCTGGGGAGAGATCGGGCCCGATTGATACAGTAGGATCATCGTCGGAGGACAAACATTAAGGATCGAATCGATACCAGGCCAGAGTATTTCCAATAACAATTGATTCCGTCCACACAAAATCTTCGTGATTTAGAGGTGTCCGCTTAGCAATTCTTAGTTGACTTCAGTGTTTCATCACCACACAAGTCAAAGAATCCGAAATTCGCACGTTTTCTAGGGATATTTTATCTTTCAAGTAGGTCCTCAAATCCAACGAGATGTGAAGCACACGGCGCATCCCAGAGTGGGCCCAGTTGGTTGCGCGCGCTTCAGCTACGGCTATCTTGATAACGAATCTTAATTCAGGAAGAATCAAGAGGGTTCTGAAAGAGTTCATGTTAAATTACAGAGAGGAGTACACTATTCAACAAGAAACGCAGCCTTCAGCGTCAAATTCACAAGCATGTAACCTTTAAAGTTGAGACCCGCTAAACAATTTTACACTTTTTGCAGAGAGAAAAGCACGAGGATTTTGAATCTGCTCCTACTTCAGTATGTAATCGCTCCTGCAAGGAGCTATAGTCGTTGGGATAGTGCTAATGTAGCGAAAAAGTACCTTTCGGCGGTACTCGGGCAAAAATCCTCAACGTGGCCATTTTTTAAATAGTGAACGTATTTAGCAGTTTTAGTTGCCTCTAGAAAGAGCAAATCTTCTAGTTTATGATGACGTATTAACTTTCCAGATTGCATGAGTTTGAACGGAGTTATGGCTTTGGAAAGCGTAAAAACTCGCACTCATCACGAATTTTCCTCGTTAATTTTGCAAAAATCCTCAACGTGGCCATTTTTTGAGTACTGGACGTATGAAGCTGCTTTAGCGACCGTTTGATAGAGAAAATCTTCTAGTTTTGTATGACGTATCAACTTTTTGAATTTGACGGAAATGAAGCAAGTTATTGCTCCGGAAAGTGTAAAAACTCGTGCTCGTCTCGAATTTTCCTCGTTATTTGATCTAAATTTGTTATTTCTTATAACTTCCTGTAATTTCAGTACTGATTAGAAAAAGCTCTTCACAAAACTCCCAAATCAGCTTTCAGATTGAAAATTCGTTATTTTTTTTTTTTTTTTTTTTTTTTTTTAATTTTTTTTGAAAATTCGTTTTTTTTGAAGAAAGTTATAATCATTTGAATATTTGTTCAAATTTCAATAGTAAATAAGCTGCTCCACGGTCAACGCCAAAGTCCAGTCAACACACAGCTGGCGAAGGCTTTTACAAGGCTTCCTTTGAGCGAAAGGGGGACGTAAATTGAGAACCATAATCTGTGTAGTACTAGAATTTGGTAAGTCTTGTGGAGGAAATAAACAAAGAAGAGGTGTTGTCATAGTACGCCCCCCCCCC